TTCTCTTCTCTTCTCTTCTCTTCTCTTCTCTTCTCTTCTCTTCTCTCCTCTCCTCTCCTCTCCTCTCCTCTCCTCTCCTCTCTTTTCATGCCTTCCAGTCAAGTTTTTTAACTCTTGGTGACTGCCTGGACAAGTCCCTGCAGTTGTCTTGGCAAGGTCTTCAGAAGTGCTTTGCCATTGCCTCCTTCCTGGAGCTGAGAGACAGAGACTGGCCCAAGGTCCCCCAGCTGGCTTTGTGCCCAAAGCAGGACCAGAACTCAGGGTCTCCCGGTTTCTAGCTTGGTGCCTTCACCAGGACACCCAACTGGCTCCCTGTGCTTCTAATGTCCTCCAAAGCTTGACACTCACCCACTAAAAGAAATAACGCCAGTGCAGAAACCATGTTCAGAAAATGCAGAAAATACTGCTTGCTCTTTGTTGGACTTCCCTGCTGCACCAGATTTTTTTTCTTATCCCCCCCCCCCACACACTCCCACACACACATTTTAAGCCATCCCTTGAGCCCCACTTTGCTTAAGAACATCCTAAATTTGTGTGCATGATCTGTACTTTGAAGTCTGAAGCACACCCACCCCAGGACTCCCTAGATCGGTGATTCTCAGCCATTCTGAATCCACAGCACGATATTGAATATAGCAGCCGTGCTGTGGCACGCCAGAGAACGATTAAGCGTATACACGTGGTTTCAAAGCTGTCAGATATGGCTCAAGGAGAAGTTATACATTTTTGTTTAATATCTGCACGGTGTTGAATATAGGGATTACCCAGAATATACATCATTTTAAAAAACATTGGGGAAAAAATGGCATAAGACAAAAATCTCATGGCACACGAGGGTTAAGAATCATTGCCCTAGGTGACTGAACCTGACGGGCCGATCTGATTTTCCAAGACACCGGCTGATGTATTTTGGAGTTATTCTTTAAAAGACTTCAAAGCAGACAGCCAACCCTTTGAACTGAGTCTGGAGGTCGATTAGCAACCAAGGAAGGGACTGCAACAGGGGGGTCCGCAGATATGGTAAAAAATGCCAAGATGTGCCGTGCATAAAAAACAGACAGAAGGTTGTATCGTTGCAGCTCCTGTTGACTTTTATTAAACCATACCTGCTGACCTTCCTTGACTTCAAAATAGATATAATTCTCACTTGACTGAGTTGATCCATCAGGAATCTAACACCCCACATTTTGCACCAACGGAGTTTCCAGGTCATCTCCAAAGGCAGCCCCACAAAGAACCCCTTGCAGTAGTCTAGCCAGGTGATGATCAGGAATGACCGTCACAGCAACTTACATTCAGCTTCAGCTAAACATATTCTTTTAATTTCACAAGTTTGCCTGATTAGGATTCCAATGCTAAAGTTTGTCTTATTAGGCCTGGCAAGGATTCCCATGCTAAACTGAACATTCAAAGACCACCTTGAAAGGTCCACGTTGCATTTTAATAACTGGCTGGGGAATTCTGGGAATTGAAGTCTGCACATCTGAAGGTTGCCAAGTTTGAGAAACACTGTTCTAAAGCACCATCATCTTGGGAGCATATGGATAAAAATCTGTTTCAAGCAACAAAAGAAAAGTACGTTGAAGGTATTTTCTCATGAGCTAAGCCTTCCAGTCCCTTGGCTTCCCCAATGATCTTTCTAAACATATGATCATAAAACGCATTTTACGATTCAAAAAGAAACAACCATAAAAATCCAAAAGCTGAATATTTTATCGCAATATTTTCAAGATGTATGGAATCTGAAGGGTAATTGTATTCCAACTGGCAGAAAAGTTGGGGATAGTCATAACTTTATATAGTCACATGACTGTGGGAACTGTAGGTCAACCTATGTAGGCTTTTGACATCTACCGTAGAGTGGTGCTTCAAAGTTTGTGAACACTTTTGAATTTTCAATATTTCTGCCTAGATAGGACTTAAAACATGGTCTGTTCTCCCCACAAGTCCCAAAACTAGATAAAGAGAACCCGGTTAAGCAAATAAGTCAAAACATTATCCATTTATTTATTGAGAAAAATGATCCAAAGGTGAAATCTTCAACAATCCAACATCTCCATCCTGAGATTTTCTCTTGGGATCAAACACAAGCGTGAGAAGGCAGAGTTGGTAGACTGCTGGAGCATATACTGTGCAAAGAAAAGCACACCAATACACCCACCGCTTTGCCATCACCCTGCTTAAAAAGGGCAAGAACATCACACTTCGCCAAAGTGCCGTTCTTTCATCAAACTGAATGAGAATCAGAGAAGGTACAAGAACTTTTTCTGCACGGCACCAAATTAATTAGCCACACAATCATAAAGTTTGGAAAGAAAGCTTGATTTCATGCAATCCTGTCCTTCTTGGGTCTTTAGATCCTCCAAACTCCGTGCCCCAGAATGAGATACCAGTTGTTCTAACGTTCTGGAGACAAGATTCATCCTTCTGCCATCCTTTTAGGCCGTTTAGGAATTAATTGTAGAGATGACACTCATTCCTTCCAACTCTTTAGGAGAACAGAGTCCCTTATTAGCTTAGGCTACATCTCTCTCTCTCTCTCTTCATGCCAGGTCAGGAGAGTTTCTCCAGCCCATGTGCAGAAAAAAATCAGATTTTGTTAGGCTTCTGCTGACTGATGCTAGAACTGGATGTTATTCAGGCTGCAGTTCGAGGATGCAGATCTCCAA